CATTACATGCCAACATCAGCATATGCAAAAATACATACATATAAGTATGTGATTTGTCATTGCGTGCAACATCTTCCGAAACGTAGATAGATTTTATTGATAAAAACTCTAAATTGTTTATAATGACAACATAATCTAATTCATTTGGCTGTAAACGTAAGTAATGTATGCTCGTAGTATAACGTGTATGCTAATAGTTTCCCTTCCTAAATAACACTACACTAATGATCTCTAGTATATAATTTTCAATAAAATTAATAATTAATTTAAATCATTATAATGATATGTTGTATGATAAAATTTTCAAAACGATTAACAGTTAAATTAAAAATGATGTATTTGTATCTCAAACATTATATACTGTAGTACTTAAAAATTATATTATATTTTTGAATTATTTCAAAAACTAAAAATATTTCATTCAATTTTCATAAAAAAAACCTTAAAAATTTTTTTACACATAATATAAAATTCATAATTTATGAATTATTATATTTCCAAATGAAAAAAATATTATTTCAATTATTATTTTATCAATTATGTGTTGATTGACTCCATTGTAAAAACAAGATCATTAAAATATCATTAAATATTTAAATCCTAATTCATATTCAAACAAAATTTTAACAAATTTATTCCAACCTGTATTTGTCGTCCAATGTATTCTTTTAGGATTAATTTATTTTTTTATAATTAATGGATGATATATATTTTTCAAATTCAATAAATAATGCCAAATAAGATTTTAAATCAATCAAAATGATAAGTTATAATTTATTAATTTATTAGCAACTAAGATTCTGATGCCAAAAAACATCTATATCTTCTGTTATTACTTGTCACAAATCTAATCGATCTTTTTAAAGAAATAAATGTAATTAAATAAATATTTAAATACTTTTTCCCAAAATAATATGTTTAAATACAGAAAATAATATTAAAAATAGTATTAAAAAATATTATTATAAGATCAAAAAATATAGAGTAATTTGAAAAATAATTTCAATTTTAATTCTAAAATTGATTTAAAATTTTAAATAAATTTTATTTCACAAAATTATATTCATAACTCTAACAAATTAAGATATGTTTATTTTTTTAAATCACCACATAGTGCACATATTTGATTAATTTTTTTTGGATTATTTGGATTGTATATTGGATTACATCTTTTATCAAATTTTGAAATATGATATTTAAAGTATGAAAATTCAAAATATTAATTACAACAAAAAAATATAATTAAAAATATATAAGGAAAACAAATATTTCTGACATATTTTGAATTTTTTATTATGAAAATTCTTAAAATATCTCTTATCTTCAATTTTCATGATCAAACATGCAACAATATAACATAAAATTTGCAATTATATACAAAATGAAATGAAAAATTTTAATCTATTTTTTATTCCTAATTACATATAAAATATATTTAAAGTATATGTGATCTTTGTAAATTATATTTAAAAAAATATTTATTTTCTTCATGCAAGATTGAGAAATATACACAACTCATATTATAATATGATATATATTATGTTATATGTGAAATAATTTTGTTTCTTAAAAATAGAAATTATTCCTGATGTAAACGTATTGAGATTTTATAAATAATGTAGTGTAACATGTTTTTGTTTTTTATTTTAAAGATAGTTATAAAAGTTTTAATTTCAAATATTTATCAAGTTTGCATGAAAACTAACAAGTTAAGCTTAATATATCTTTATTGTTATATAACACATATTAATAAATCTTAAATATGTTAATTTTTATTTATATTGTTTAGTTTAACTTTGATTAAAGAGTATCTAGCTATTTATAGCTTGATTGATTGTTGGTGCTGGGTATGTACATCTAGGGTTTATTTGAGACTTGAGACTACAATGTAATTAGTTTTTTGTGTGAGTATAATTTAGGTATCAAACCATAAATAGTGTTATTGTTATGTTTGTTCACTATAACTAGAGGTATATTGTAGTAAGTACTTCCAAGTTTTAATACGAGCTCGTATTACGTGTTGTACTAGAGTTGAATGTATTATATACTTTCAAGTTGTACTACAAACTTGTACCACTTGAATTGATTGTAGTACGTACTTCCAAGTGTACTACTACATTTTACTTTTGAAAAGTTTTCTTGAAAAGGTATATAATTAGGTGTGGGCGGCTCATTCCGCTAAGTCCCAACTTTGTGTTTTCTCAGATTGAGTACTCAAGGATTTCCGCATTTCTTTTAGGATTTGTAAGTGTTTCAAGATTTCTTTGTTTTTCTAGATGACTTGACATTGAATGTTGGAGTAGCCGACGAGAGTAGTTGAATGTGGAATGTGTTTTTTTCCCCATACGACGTCCGTTTGAGAAAAGTGGTACTAGAGTTGTAAAATCATTTTTTCAAAGCATTTAAATTTTTTTTATTGATTGTAAAGCGAAAGTTGAGATATTAACTCTCGCTCTTCATGCAAAAGCTCAGTTTGATCCAAATTGTAATAAATGATTTATAAATATTTATTACATATTGGAACATCACTTGAGTCCATGCTAACTGTATGCTAAAGCGTTTATAAGTTTTTGAGCATGTACGAGCTTTGTGGAGGCCTTGTGCCACATAGGCCAATCCAAGATAATGCCTTCGCCGTGGCTCGATTTTATCAAAGAGTAGGCACTTTCCAGAACTACTACATGGTATTGACAAAGTCTTCGTCACAGGAATTACACATAGAATTGTGTGAGAGAGAGGACGCAGTTATTTGAAACTGAATTCATAGTCCACGGCCCTACAAATAGTAGTCTATATCATTCCAAAAATCTGCGTGGCCTTTTGAATCTTTCTCCATACACTGAAGTAGTCTTCTCTAGACTTTGATCTAGTTGAGAAGAGTATAGTCATGCCTTATCATAGTATTGATTGGAGTAAGGCTCAACATCTCGAAACGTGCTCGAAGCGAGTTTTATGTTCAGTAATATGTGTTGGAATACCTGTTTCCTAATACCGCAGCTTGCTTGGCACGCTCTGGAAGTGAGATTTGACTGTTTGTTTTATTCAAGAAAGGGCCAGACTAGGGCCACACCCGCTTTTGCTACAGCCACACCCGCCCGCTAATTACCATGCCCGCTTTTGCTACTACCCAAGCGCACTTCTGCTACAACCCAAGCGCACTGCTAATGCCCAAGCCCCAGCAACGCGGGAGACAGCGACGGCCGCAGCGGCCCCGCGCCCCTCGACTACGCTCTCCTCCGCTTCGCCGTAGCTACTAAGCCGAGCTCGTCCGCTTCGCGGACGAGCTCGGCTTAGTAGCTGGGTTTGAGGGGAGTCATGCTTTGACGCGCAATCAGTTGTTTGTATGTAGTGGGTGTGGCCGTAGCAAAAACGGGTGTGGCACTAGTCACACCCTTCAAGAAATTGCTTCTTTCCACATGTGATACTATCTATGGGGATTGTAGTATTTTAGAGGCACAAACTTTGAGCGGACATCAGGTGGTCCATTCATTACTACAAGCTATGACTATGATGCCCCCATTGACGAATATGGCAAGTATCGAAACCTGCTGCGATTTTTTATTGAACAGTAGTTGAAAAACAGAAAGATTATGTATCAAGTCGTTAAGGAATATATGTTGCATGAAGTACTGATGAAGTTGTATAAACAATGGTCAACCTTCTCACCTGCAATTCCATCAGCTCAATTTTGGAAGCCAACTCTTTTGATCTTCATACCATCTTTCCAGGGCTTGTCGGGGCAATCAAAGTGGAGACATCTCAAGGATTTACATGAAGTTTTGATGCGGTGTGAGTGAGACCTAATGTCCGTCGATGATGAACCTCTACTTATGTTAGTGGGGTTCTCGATTTCCCCAAAATTGAAATAAAATCCGGCTGACTCGAGGCAACCCGAAGAAAGCATGAAGCAAGAAAGAAAGAGGAGAAAGAATATGGGATCCCTGACACCTGACAGTTTGTATAAGTTTGTGCAACTACGCGAGGCATTGGTGGAACCAATGAGAAGGTGGAGCAATCGATGGGAACGAGTAAACATATGTAAACATGTCAACAGTGATCCGTTGACACGTTTCGATCAAGATGGACTCAAAAGTCAACAGTGCGAGTGATTATCTCACTAGATAGTTTTCTTCTACTCATTGTTTACGTCGAGAGGTGGTCGATCGACTGAGTACACTTCGTGATCGTGATTACACTAAAAAATTGGATAATGAGGCCACGGGACCAAATCGAAGGTCCTATGCTTCATCTAATCAACAAAGGGCCACACCCGTTTTTGCCGTGTGGCCGTAGCAAAAACGGCCACACCTGCTACATACAAAATAAGTTGTTTGTAAGTGTTACAAAATAAGTTGCTCATCCCCTCAAACCCAGCTGCTAAACCGAGCTGGTACGCGAGACAGAGGAGAGCGTAGTCGAGAGGCTTGGAGGGGCACAGAAGGGCCGCTGCGGCCGTCACTGTCTCTGCAGCGGTACTAGCGTATTGCTGCCGCTAGTACCGCTGCCGCGGATGCTGCCCTTCTATTGTTCTATTTCGACTGCCATGCCGCTTCAACCCCCTTCGGGGGCTTTGATCGAGACAAGTTACACGGGCTGGTGTGGCCACAGCAAAAACGGATGTGGCTCTAGTATGCCCTATCAAAAAAAAACAAACGAGACCGTTCCAATGTGGATGGATGACAATAGATCCAACCTACTTGGAAACGGGTGTTTTAATGCGATATAAGCGTAAAAGTGCGGACACTTGTAAGTGTAAAGCGCCTTAAAACACAAGAAGAAATCCTTGAATCTGCTCCATGCTTCTATTCACAGTCACAAAGGAAAAGGAAGACGACTTGTTCACACGTAACTAGCTTTGGATTCCTTTCTTTAAGCTCAAATTCTACCAAACTAATCTACTATTTACTCTTTTCATTTCAGACTTCGGTAGGTAATATGCATCAACAACAAAAATCAGTCTAGACTGCAAACAAACATGTTTCTCTCGAGCGATAAAATTGAATACAAAATTACAAATCAAATCGTCTCAACTTAATTAAACAATTACCACTCCACAAAAAGTATATTAGTCTAAACTCTTAAATAAACGTATATGGCCCATCACATGCTTTTCTCACTGACTGAATGTCAAGCTTTTGGTTTACTAGGACCCAAAATTGCTGTCAACGATCCACAATGCTTGGACTTATAGTCGTGCTTCTCGCAGCATTTCTGCAGCTTCAAAATTGCATGTTTGCACCTGCACAATACCCAAGTTCCAAACTTGATCGTCAGGCGGGGAGTTCTATGCTTAAAGATCTACATGATCTCGACACCTATGTCTGGGACCTTCAATCAAATGTAGGTCCATACGCACCGGAGACTTCTCATTGTCTTTCAGGGATACTGGAACATGACTCAGAAAGAGCAACAGGACTCCAAGTAAGCACATGGAGCCTGAGCTTCGTGTAAGATCTTGTCCACATGCAGCCTTATAAATCACCAATTTTTTACGTAAACTCCAAAATTACACGGTATACTACAACGTTTTAAAGATTCGTTCATTTCTCACATGACTCCGAGGACACAATCATGCTCGAAGCCATTTTGTCCAGCTCTGTAGTAGGATTGTTTCTTCGAAGTTGTGTAAAGGAAGCCAGAGAAGTATACACAGAAGTAAGCGTGTTGCTTTCATTTTGTATATAATACCTTCGAAACAATTCGATACAATGATCCGATTTTCTCTTTCATCACCTGACAAATGCTGGAAACTGTAGCTGAAAGTGGACTTAAAACTGCCACTTCAAGCTCACCATTCGTCACTCAGTCACTATTATCAATCGGACCCTGTCCCACATGAACAAACATTATCTGAGGACTGGGACGACCACTGAGATGTGTCAATCCTAAAGGATAGTCCCTGAACAATAGGAACGAAATGAGATTATATGCGGACTTCTATGTTCCTGTTTTGATATAATCTCATCTGACCCAGAATAACTCTAGTGGTCAATGCTCACTTCTGGATACACATATACACCTTTTCAAAGGTACAGTCCCTTTTCTACTTGAAACTCATCTGTGGGCTTCCATAATCTTGCTTCACTAAAGATCTTGCCTACAAACTTCGACCCAGAGTGCAAGGTACTCGAAGTGATACATGCAAAAATAACTCCAGACACAATCGTCAAGAACTTATACTCGTAGTGGAATCTTTTGCAATAGGTTACATGCCTACTGGCTGAGATTTCTGTCCGCAAGGTTTCGTAAAAGGAACATTTTACTGCAGTGTTCAACTTTTGGGAAACGTCTGTAGAACACTGTGCTATTACAAATTGAAAATTTTCTTGAGTATCTAGTTTCAATCGTTTCTGTTCAAAACTTGAGCAGCATTAAAACTGATGGCAAGTTGCAAAGTTTGAGTCAATACTAAACTTGGGCAAAAAGGTTAGTGCCCCCTGGGATCGACGATTCCTTAGAAAGGCATGTTCAGTTCTCCTCAGTGCAAGTAAGCTCGCTTCAGTTGAAACCCTCGACATTATACTCGTTACTTATACGGTCCAATCTTTAGTTCTGAACATTTCGTATGTTCCATGTCAATTAATTGGTGCCAAAATTAATTTCCAGTTGGCCACATCAAACAATGGACCGTAATCAAGACCCTAATTCTCAGAGATCATCAAAATTTTCAACTAAAAGACAAACTGCGCGATTGAGATAGGTACCTCTCATGCTTGAAATCGTTCTTAGTAAGACAGGCCTGTATCTCGCACGCATATTCACCGCAAGGCTCCGGTGGGGGCTTTTTCTCCCAGAATCCAAACATTCAGACGACAACCACGGCGTCCACTAAGCCGATCGCTACAACTCCCAGAGAAAGAAGACCGCCGTGCTTCCTCTGAAGGCCAGAGACCCAAACCCTACCAAAGTCCTCACAAGAGGCTCCGAACGACCAACACCTCTGCGGACACACAAGAGTCTAAGCGGCCAGATTTCAACCCTCTAAGCAAGATCTGCATCATCGAAATCATCTTCAAAGGAATTGAAGAAATCAGCATCGGAAGGCTTGTGGTCCGAAAGCGCGTCTCCGAGCAAATCCAGCGCATCCCCATCCAAGTCCACGTCCATGGCAGCTCCCACGCCCTGGTCTTCCATGTCGAATCCAACATACACAGGGAAGGGTTTCATGGTGCTCACTTTTCTTGGGCCTGGGCGATCGTCGGTTTCGCTTCAGGTCCTGCGGCCGTATTTTCCTCTCAGAGCGACAGAATTTCCAGCGCAAAAGACTCGATCTCAGACTCAGACAAGCCCCTAATGGAAACGCTGACCGTCTCTCTCTGTCTGTACTTGTTCTTCTTCTTCCCGCCCCTCCTCTGACTCACGATCAGCCGCACCGTGAGGACCGGCCCCAATGGACCTTGCGCTCTATTCTATCGGATCCCGACATTCGCTGCATTTTGTTTAGTTCACTGTTTTTTGTTTGTTTTTTGGACCTCACCGTACAAAAATTAAGAAGTGATGTCAAAGCGATCTCATTACAAAATTAACACTCTCAAGGCTACACGTTGAGTCAAGCAGTGTTGATATTTGTTTATTCCCACCGAAACAATCAGGCTGTTATAACTCTACAATTCGGGTGAGTGATAATTAACATAAATTGAGTAATAAATAGTGGGTTTTTTTTTCTTTCTTCCATGGTACCATCTCATGCGGTGTCTCAACATTTTGGACTTTTTACACTAGCACGTCGACCATTCTCGTTGTCATAGTGGGTAGAATAGGGGAAAAAAATGGGAGGGAAATAAGGGCATGTAATGATACATCTCCATGTACTGCAGAATTCAGATATCCACTTTCCAATTTACCTCTGACCATACAAACCCGCCAACTTCACGTTCAACTTACATGGACTCCGAAACACAATAATGTCACCCACCTTACCAATAGACTCCAATGTTGTGTCAAAATTGACACCAAGATTGCATACCACATGACACAACCTACAACATAGTAACCATCATTTGACATGTGTGATTTGTTAATAGATTTTTTTAAATCTTGAAGAATAATCTAAAATCTTCCTATAATTGATCAACTTGATATTTTTAAATTTTTTTGTTGTAAATCTCATATTTGCAAACTTGTATTCATATATGTATATATGATAGATGTTATCCTATTTAATGTAACACAATTTAAAAGTGAGTACAAACCTTTCGTATATAAACAATGAATCTTTATGTATACTGAAACATCATTCACCCTTCAATTTCATGCCTGAATTCATTTCAATTCCGAAAATACATTCTTCTTAGATAAATTTCCTTTCTCTATTTTACTTTCGATTTCAAATTATAAGAACAAGCGCATCGAGAAAATTATTCACAATTATACATATAAAAAAATTTATCCAAAAAATTATTTTTGAAACTATCTCATATTTAAAAATATTTTTTTTTGGATTTTTTTTGGGTAAAAATTTGGTTTACAGCATTAAATATCACATAATATTTATGAAAAGTTTGTATCAAACAAAATGTGAAGTTATATGTACTCAACATAGCTCTCTTCGACCTACACTTCCTGAGCTCATACATATACAATTCATTTTAGTGAATATAGTTGAAACATAAAAAGTTCAAATAAGTAAACAAAAGATGATAGTCAGAGTATTCTGCTCATTCTAATACACTAAGTATATTGTCCGATTACCAACATATTTGGAATCATAAAATAAAAAATAGTGTGTTAATATTTGATACAACTCAAAAAAATCACACAAAATATCAGGTTTTTGATAAAATATAATGAAATCATTTTTGATAGATATTTGTACAGTTTACTCTGCCCTGTGCTTGCAGCAACTATGATGGTGCTAGGCTCGTAAAACGGGCAAAGTTGCTGGCTCTTTCCACGTGGATATGTATCCATGAGCAACGTGTTTCATCCAATCACAAGGAATCAGTATTCACGATTCCAACCATCATAATTCAATATTTTGCAATAACTGTTCCAAATGATTTGATGTTGTGATATCTTGCTTCTTACTAAAAAAATTTCGATATGTATAGTGGATTGAATTCTAATTGTTCAAGTATGGGCTACTTAACTAGGATGGATGATACAAGATTCTAACTATCGAATACAATGGATTTTTGAGAAACCTTCGATTTGGTGTACAGTCTATTTATTTATAAAACTCTTCGCAACGATTCGTCCACAACTTTCAAAACAATCGATAACCAGAGAGTCCCCACGTAACTTCATCGAGAGAACCACATACAACAAATTTTATCCAGAACGCATTCCACACTATAATGAGCATCTCTGGACGAAGCAAAGAGGATAGTTTTGATAAGAGCAAGACCCATTTTATTACCCAACATAATTGAGAAAAGCTCACCTAAAAAAATCCGATATATTTCCTTTTTCTGGATGAAAAAAGCCGCTACGTGGTTTAAACCTAGGAGGTCTCATTATCACCAAAATTCGCGATGTAACCCCAACGCCACATAATGGGCATAACATTTACTTAAGTGTAACTTTGTCTACACTGGTTTATTCAGAAAAAAAAATTGGTGCAATGGTCATCGTTGCACAATATCCGAGACATGTTTTACAGAAGGAGCATGGAGTCCACGAATCTACAGCCCTCTCTTTCTCACGCATAGTTCCACCAGGAGAACGGGTTAAACTCAACAAGCTGCTTCTGAAATTGAAAATAGCCCTTAGTGCTGGGCCATGATCATCGAGCACCTTTCCATTCAGCCTGGATCTTACTGAAAATACTGACCAAGCTGCTACTTTAAATCAGAAATAGCCCTCACTGTCTGGATAGCCTGGATGTCACTGCCAATACAAAACCGTTGCTCCGCTGGAAAGTTCTGCAAATGATCAAATCAGTGGTTGTGATGTGGAACTTGGATGGATGAAGGAAGACCCATAATAATAATCTCGTCATCTTCACTCAGTCTCAAAATCTGTGATGCGAATTCGGAGTGGACTGCATCTGAATCCGGCAGTCCCTACCATGGCCCTGAGCGACATCGCAGTCGATCGATGCTCGGTCCGAAGGGAGTCGCAGATCAGCACTCACAACTCCAAGGAAAAGCTAACTCCATGCCAGGGCCACGGTAAGACATGGAGTGTATTGCGGCAATTCCCAGTAAGTCTGTGCTGCCTCTGTGAGCTCCGTTTACAGAGGCAGGTTGATTAGGAGGACATGTAGTTCGTATTCTTCACTCCCCTTCACTCCACTTCACTCTTACTTCGGACAGCTGCTCACTACGCTCGTTTTCCAATATACACTTTCGAGTCCCAGCTCTCGAGGCATGCATGGAGCATCTAAGACCCTGGCATCTGAGGACTGCTCAAAATATTTTTTCATTGCAAAGACCAGTTTAGTGCATGATTACATGGTGAGGATAAGAAAGATACATTATTACCTCGCTTACAGATCATGAGGATTCCCTCGCAGCGAGAGTCTAAATTATTCTCAAAGCAAATGTACTCATTACGTTCCAAACCAGACTGTGGACACAACGATAGGACAAAAAACTCTCCATAGGTCTCCTTCTATCAGTATCAAAATCATGTGCGATATCAGAAGTTTTTCCTTGAACCTGGGACTGAAATTCGGAATGGTTGTTACAAAGTATTTAATCCTTTGACCAGTTGTTTAGGCTGACACTTGTATAATTGCAGAAATGTGGGTTACACCTTCTATCCATGTTCACTTTTATAGAATCTCTAGCTGTCAAGTACACCTTATGCATATGCAGATGTCGATTTCGATTGCAATCATTTATAAAGAATGACCAGCAGGCGATGTCGAGCAGCTCACCACGAGTGGTCTGGTGGTATCGATCGTATAGTGGAAGTAGAGAAGTTGAACCCTCAATATTTTTTGAGCTGATTTAAATCCTTCGATCCGCGCTGTGTATTAATTTAGACAGATGTGCATGAATCGGGTAGCTCAATTGCAGCAGAAATGAATGAATTCCTCTTATTTCATGAATTGGTTCTCAAATGAAGGTGGAATGACTTGCAGCGTCTGGATTCCAACTGCAAATCCCGGACTCCCTCGCTAGCGGCCGACAACCATGTCTCAAGTATCGTTGATAATAGCGCGAAAACCGAAAACCATGAAAGTGCAACGGTGAAAAAATGCGCTCTTGATAGATTTGGAGGATCGCATGACAACTCTCCTGACAACTGTCAGGAGAGATTTTCAAAATAGTGTGTTAGGTACTCTTTGGACCCTTATGCAATTACATCTAAGCCTTGGACTCCATGGTTACTCCAGAGAATATCAAAGCGTCGAAAACAACGATGGAGCTTTGTCGATTTGTGTACAAGTCCTGCTGTTTGAAGGAGGACAATTGGTAGGGATAGAACTTTGTGCTCGTCAGTATGTTCGAGGACAGGAGCAGAAGTACGCAACTTCAGGGTCAGCTGGTTGTCTGTTGGCACCAGATGAACTCATGAATCAAGAGCTAATTATATATATGTCGATGGTGTTGCCCTCCCGTGCCGCAGTACTCGCAGGAATCGGCAGTAGTCTACAACAATAATCATTCAGGCACTCAATCGGTGACCTCAACACTTACCGAGGAGGAAGAGATGTTGATTTTCAGCGATTACTGAATCTGGAGTCCAGAATCAACTCACCATCTCCAGGTCACTTTTGAGATGTAGTTGACAACAAGAAATGACACTTGGTAAGGCTGTACCGGCGATGCACGATCCAAACTGCCAAAGAATTTTAGTGTACTCTCAAAGTCTTCCATGGGGAATGAACCTGGACAAAAATCTTTAACCTCCCATTCATTATAAATGTATGTCAGTCAAGTATCCCATGTACACAAAGTTGAAGTAAGAAGTATGATTGATAATCATTGCACACCTTACAAATCTCAATAAAATCATTAAACAGGAAATAGTGTAACGTTTTACAGATGATAATCTATTTCGCAAATCTGACCACGGCATAATAATAAACCGAACACCAATGTATCTCCCTTCTCGTAACTATATCATCAACAAGGTCCATTTTCGTGAAATCACCAAAGATTTGCACTATCTAAACGCAATTTTTTATATGTTCATACATTAGTTATGACAAGCATACATATAAACATTATACATAGACAACTAGCAAGAAGTAAGTTATCAATACATATTAAATACTCTAGCTAATATTTCAAAAGCTTTAATAGTATTCCTCAGCCAATGCATGGATGTAAAGATAAAAATAAAATAATATTTATTATTAATCACAGATGTAGGACATATGTTCTACAATAAATAAATAAATAAATCTATTTAGCGATTAGTTATCCCTCGGTTGAGGCTAATTATCCCTCACCGAACTACACCCTAGAAGCTCCAGCCAATACATT